CCTTTATAAATACTGAATACTTTGTTGTGAAATGGAGAGAGATTTCTCTCTCATCTGTGACCTGTATCACTGTATTTTTGTGAATCTCTTTGGATGTGCACCGGGGAGGCAGTGAACAGATTGAACGGGGATGGCTGTGACTTTTAAATGATGAACTAGCTGAAAGGTAATCCTTGAAGCACACTAGCTTTGTAGTGCTGTTGGTCGTCTTGTGCCCAAGGAGAATCGAGAGCATTTGGGTTTGGGATTGCAGTGATAAGAAGGGATTGTTTCTCTACCCGCATCCCCTTGAAAGCTCAGCAGCAAGTGATCGGAGCAGGTGCCGGCAGAGCCAGGTTATGTGGTTTGGGGTTTTGGTTTTTTTATTCTCTGTTCGCCTCATTTAGTCATAGCTCCAAGGCAAAACATCCCCTGGTCCCTGTGTGTTCAAATGGAACCAGAACACACAGTTCACAGTTGAAATTGCTTCATTCCCCAGATTGTTGTGAATGAGGCAAAATTAATTTGAAAATATTTAGGAAAGTCGGAGTTTTTTGTTAATAGGCAAGCTGATGTGGAAGTGTAGAGAGAGGATCTTGGGTTGTGTAAATAAGGGTAGACCCTTGATCTGAGGATGGAAGAGAAATTTTTGATGGGAACTCGCTCTGTAAAAAAGTATATTTAATACAAGAACAGAGAAGTACTCAGAATACAGATTTTTCAAAAATGCATACATTCCAGGAGGCAAGGTAGAGCCAAGAAGAAAATATATTGACATTGGACTCTGTAACAGTGATAGGCATGAAACAGGGCTGTACCGGCACTTTCTGGCTTTGACTGAAAAAGAGTGGATAATTGATACTCAAACATCAGTAAATTAGCAATGTTAAGGGAGATGTGCAACTTTATTTCTTACTTCTGCACATATGCATCTGACGGTATGCAAACGCCTTTTCTTCTCAAAAGAAATGCAACATACTGCTTTTCTGCAACTGAGTTTTCTACCTTCACACAGTGTGTGCTTCCACTGAATTGTATTTTCATGTATGATATTAAAATATGCTGGCATTTATTGGCAGCAAAGTTAAATTATTAAGAAGAACTAATAATTGTGTCAGAAGTGCTCTTCCCTAATGGTGATGACTGACAGTGTTACAGTGAGCTCTTGCAAAGTTGTGGACATATGTAAACGTAAGTTGCATGGATATGTATGTGATGTGTTCCTAATTGGAAATTACTTGGTGACGAACCTGGGAAGAGACTCTGAATTCAGGCTTCCAAACTCTCACCCTCAGAGACAACCTGAAAGGCTGGGGTGATGTTATTTTCTTTCTCAAGTCACTGTTTGAAACTGGAAAACTTTTCATCTGCCTGTGCTGCAAAAGCGCAAATGTAGGGTGGCCCTCTCTATTAGTTAATACTGCTGAAATAAAAATAAAATGCAGCTCAGGAAACTGATGCAGATAACTTCTCCTCTTTTGAAACCTTTAGGAAGGAAGCCAAAATCAGCCTCAACACTGGTTTTGTTTAAAAACGTGTCTTCAGGACCTTAGAAAATGTTCCAGTAAGGAGGAAGAGAGAATCCTCCCAAACGTGGCCATTGATACAAGACAAGGTATTCATCTTCCCTCACTTAATGCATTTGCAGACCAGACATGGACACCCATGGTCTGTAACGGAGCTCCTTTCTCTCTGCTGCCAGCAAAGGGAGCCCTGCAGACTGGTAGCACCTATGTTCCTGTCCTAAGTCCAGGGGAAAGAGCCCTCTGTAACTGTCATACGCACCATGTGAACGCCAGTGTCACTGTGACTCTGCAAGAGCTATTAAAATCTTAAAATTAAGCTCACATATGGTCTGGTGTATGTTAAACTTTCTTCTGTATAGAACAGTCCAGTTCAGGAGAGAGATAGAATTGTCCTACAAAAAATGGGTTTAGTTTTCATTAAGAAAATTATTTATTTAAAAAAAAAAAAACTGTCACGTGTTCTTAAAGTAGTTTTTACGCTAGTCATTATTATTCTACTGTGCTTTAATTTTGGTTTGTTAAATCCCAATCTTCCAGCAAACTGAGATCACAAATCTCTTGGCTCAGATTCTGCGCAGTGTTTTGAGCTTGAAGGTGGCTTTCGGTAACTTTCCTCATGTAAATTTTTGTCTTCGCCCCTGAAACTGCTTAAAAGTGCAAAGGACCAAAAATGTTACTGCTTTAGTTGGTTTAGTGGTGAGCATTTCATTGAATTCAAGCTGGAATTAGCTCTCTTCCAGGCAAGTTCACTTGAATCCGAAGGGCGAGTGTTGCCTTACAGCATACCTTGTAAGTGAGCGTGCTAGGGGCAGGAGAGAAGAATGTGAGTGAGCATCAAGAATTTCTCATAGGAATCGACCCCCAGTTTTCCATTCTTCATGCAGCCTGCATGTGTTGGAGACTGGGAAGACAGGACAGGAGCATCACAAGATGTTCAGTGCTGAGTTAGACATGAAATACTGTATTAAGGTAAAAGACACTGCTGTGACTTTCACTTAAAGAGGTTAAAGAGTCATAAGGGTAAGGCACCCATAAGAGTGTTTGCTGTGTGATCCCAGCCCTCGTGAGTTATTGAGCACAATATCACACTGGAACTAAGAGGAAGGAAGGGGAGAATGGATAATCTCATGTCCGTTCCGATGCTGGGAATTCCATTGTGCAGCATCAGAGAGATGTCCAGTCAGGGCTCCGGGCCACAGAGGGGTTTGGCATGATGGTCTTCAGCCTTCTTTCTTAGGGGAGAACTTTCTTAATAATTTTTGCTGCTGAGCAAAACAAAGTTGGCACGAGAGCATGCTGCTTCACTTCCAGATGGACGTGGTGGTGCAATTGCCGGTGTCCGAGCTGCCTGCAGAGTCCTCTGGGATGTTGACCTGGCCAAGTTTATCCTGCGGCCAGGGTATGTGTGCAGTACAGGCCTGAAGGCCAAGTGCTACACGCAGCACAGTGCAGAGGTGCAGCTGCTCAGGCTGTTGTGTGCGTCACTGTGTGCAGTAGCCTCCTGGTTAGGATCGCTGCAGCACGCAGCCGTTCAGACGGGACTGCCTGTGTTGTTCCTTCCTGCAGCAAGGGAAAGGTGTGTCACGCAGCTCTCCACAGACTGCTGTGCTTGCAAAAGGGCCCTGATCATTTGCAGTGATTCCAGTGTCTTCTAAAAGCGCCAGATTTTCTGTCTGTATGCACACTGTTGCATGGAGTTGGCATATTGGCCCAGTTCTTCCTGCACGGTTCTCGCACCACGGATGGGTTAGCGTCAGTAAGAGGTGCAGGGCTCCAGAGATGGCGTGCAGTTGGTACCCTTCAGTGACCACGAGCCTGGCTTACTGGCCTTCATCTTAAGTACAGTGGATAAACATGGCCCAAAATTGGCAATCTGTTGATTAAAATGTACAGAAGGAAGCCTAAAACAAGAGATAAAGCATTTGTTTGTGTGCCAGAACGATGATGCAGAACCAAGTTTTCCGAGGAAAGCTGCTGTTAGCAATCTTATTTATTAAACAGCCCACGGTGGTGGGAGGGAAGTTCTGTTTGAATTTTTCTTACTCGGTTGTCAATTTTATGTTTGTTGCGGCTTTAAAAATGTTATGTTTGTTTCTGCTTTGAAAAGTAGGTGCAAAGTAGGGAATGAGTACACAGTGGAAGATCTGCATTTCAGAATATGCTGAAGGCTAATTTCAGATACAGTGCAGGTCTAAAAGAGATAGCCCATTATCCTATTCCGAAGCAGGAGAAATTGAACCTCCATGGCTAGCGTATTCCAGTGCTGCATGATCTTCAGTTTTTCTAAATACCTTAACCCAAAGGTTTTTTACCCCAAATTGAAGCTGTGAGTAATCTTTTATGTGTATGTGTGAAACTGAAGACCATTTTCATTACTGTAACATCCTAAATATCCAAAATTTGCTGTTCCTCACCACGACTACCTTAACACTGACCAAGTGTGTCTTTCCAATGTGTTAAGCTGTGTCATTTTGTACCTTTGGGATCGTTACAGTCAGTCCCCACCCTCAAGTATGGGACCTGAAGCTGCACACGGTTTATCAGGAGAGAGATTCGCAGGGCAGAAGAAAGGAGGATAACATACTATTGTCTCAGGCTTTGTAGTTATTAATACACATAGCAGCCAGATTTACTGCTTTTGCAGCACAACACTGTTGGTTCCTGGTTTTGTCCTCTGTTGTAAATCATTTTTTTTGCACTGAGCTGACGAAACAGTTCTCCCTTTCTGGCTACTCCCCCTCCATACACCACCACCCCTCCCCCCAGCTCCTTTTCGTAAAAAAAACCAGCCTCCAGTGCAGTATTTTCTACCTATCTCTACTGAATTTCGTAATACTTATTCCAAATATTTCTCCATTTCGGATTGCAATCCTCTTCCCCCAAAGCATTTGTAACCCCTTCTGCCTTCTAAACTGAGCTAAATTCACAGAATTTAGTTGTCTGCCAGTCACTAGAAAATACTGGCGTCAGGGCCTCACTTCTTAGGGCTCTCCCAGCTGGACCAAATTATTGCTACCTACTGACTGAGAATATTTGCCATTTGTGCATCCCCCTTATTGCCAGTTCACCTTTAGCTTTTCTCCCTGCTCACAAGGACGTTTCGCAGGCCAGCCCAGCACCAGACTGCATGGCATCTAACAGCTGTCGCTTACGGGACAGTACCAAGAAGACAGAGCCGGGATCTTCGCAGTGGTGCCTAGAGGGAGGACAAGAGGTGATGGCTATAAATTGAAACGAGAGGTTCCAACCTGCTACAAGACCGGTCCACCGTGAGGAGGATGGTCAGTCAAGTGCAGCAGGTTGCCCAGAGAGGTTGTGTGACCTCCACCCTTGGAAGGTTTCAAGACATGACTGGGTCAAGTCATGAGCAGCCAGCTCTGATTGATTGCACTGGTTTGAGCAGGAGACTGGACTGGAGACCTGCTAAGGTCCTTTTATGTTTCTGTTCTTTCTCAGATCCCTCAGAGTTTCGCTCTTTGTGTTTGTCCTTCTTAGATTTGACGGTTCTTGTTCATATCCTGGAGACTGCTTTCGGCAGTTCCCTGTTTTCTGTGGGGTAATCACCAGATCTTGCTGACAGTAATCAGAGATGCGTAGTTCATGTCACCAGGTGCGCAAAGCTTGAGGCTCCACTTGATTTCTTTTTAAGTCTCTATTACAATGTGACATCAGTTTCCAAATATGTCATCGTCCACCTGCAGTTTGCTGGTGACAGCGGCACTCAGGAGGGGCATAGCCACAGTGACACCGTAGTTGTCACTGGATTAGAATCATAGAATCACAGA